AAGAAAGAAAGAAAGAAAGAAAGAAAGAAAGAAAGAAAGAAAGAAAGGGAAAGAAAGTGAAAATACAAAAGAAAAGCACTCAGTTTATATGCTTATCTGAAGGGCAAAAACTTCAAAAGGAGAATTAGAACATGTTATGAGTCATATGAACTGGAAGGCATTAATGGTTACATTTGTTTTTGTGTGAGTAATGTTACTGCTAAAGATTTATAACTAACGTTGAAATTTCTAGTTTTATTTTAAAAGAACTACCCCAATCATCTAATTAAAAATAGGTCTTAAAGAAAGTGAGTTAAAAACTCCATAACAACTGAAAGAAAAAAAGAAGGTTCATAACACATTGGCCTATTTTTGAAAATTGCAAATGAAATATCTGCTACACTTAAAATAGCTATGTAGAAGCATTTATTATATAAATTAAATGATTTAAAAGGTAATAGAAACACTATATATATATGTGTGTATGTGTGTGTATATATATGTGTGTATATATATATATTCTAGACTCAAATAGTATTATGAAAGTAGAAATATTCCACTTGAGAATAATGACACTAAAACAAAACTACCTTCAAATTGCACTTTTAATAAACTTATCCTGAAAAATGCAAAAGATCAATATTAAAAATCCAATATGGTACATTATCTATAACTCACTCTGATGCAACATCAGGGCTCACAAACAGAAGGACTGTGTGTCAGGAATATGTTATTTGCAGCATCTAGAAACACTTCAAGTTATTTTCTTGACAGAGTTTCCAGGAGTGACAGGTAACCTATTTGGCCTTCGAAGAAGAATGAAATTCAGGCTGAATTCTTCTTCACTAAAAAACTACTTTTATAAAGAATGACATTCAAGTAATTGGAGAGCAGGTTTTCAACACCCTTTCCACTTTCTGTACTTCTTTCCAGGGAAGCAGATTTTCGACCTGGGTTTTCTGCCAGTTCTGTATTAGCTGCTCGACCCAAACACACTACACACTAAGGTTGTAACCACCCACCCATATTATATGAGTATCATTCAGAAACACTAATTACTGTGCCAACAGCTGCAGGACATGACTAAAGTAAAGTATCCCAAAGTTTTGGTTGCTTAATTAAATATAAGACAATCTGGAACACTGGGACGCAAATAGATGAATTTTTAACAATGAGCCAATGAAAGAAAGGAAAGTGCTGTCCCTCTATCAAGTGGATTCCAGTGGCTGCCTCAGTCGGAATCATCATGGTGAGCCCTCCCTTACCATGACTTCTAATGGCATTTCCCTCCGATCATGTGCACTTTTTGGTGGACTGTGTGCGCTTTGTGCAACTACTACTTTAAATACATGCAGAGAAAGGAGATCACTCTAATGTCATTAAGGTGTTGGCGTTGAATATCTCCAGCACAGCAGCACAGTATCCTCGCTAGACAACTGGACCTCAAAAGGACAACTTTACTGAGCCGATGGGGCTCCCCAAGATATCGTCAGTGTCAGATTACCTTGAATTATGTTTACAGTGTCAGGAGAGAGTGGAGTTACCTTGCTCTTAATCCCTGCACTTGTGAAAGCATCTTAGATGACTTTCACATCAACATAGCAACCCCATGGGACTATGTAACAATCACTCAATTTACTGTAATAATTTGTATTTTTGTACATGATCTTCTTATTTGCTGTGTTTTTTTCTCTATTCATAAAATGAATTCATCTAATATAAAAAGAAATTGTATGGGTAAAGCCAAAGCAAATAACAAGAAAAAATGCACTGACTAAGTTCATGGTAATATTATTTGCCTCTGGTTAAAAATATAAAATACATAATTGTTAATTTTAAGTTATTTATCCCTTTTCAACATTTAAAATTACCTTTCTATTAACATTTTTGGGTTCCTTTAGCTGAGGCTTTTATAAGATTTAACATAAGAAGGTTATTCTTAAATAAATTCAAGTGTATATTCAAAAGGTATAAACAGCTCTGTAATAAAAATTGGCCTACAGACATCAGAATCATAATACATGATTATTACACACACACATGAGAACAATGATATAATATAAAAATAAAGGTTATAAGTTAATTTATAGAAGGATTTAGACTACCACATTTTTAAGAATTCATATTACTAAATATAATGTTAAATTCTTGTCAACATTATATTCTTGCATCCAGTAAAACTGGACAGTTATGAAATTTGAGAAAACTTATTCATCTTAGATATAAAACCATTTAGCTACAGACACAATGATCCTAATCATAACAGTGTTTAAAATAAACTAAGGAACAAAAACTACCTAGATCAAAACCATGAATATCAACAGCTTTTCAAAACCTACAGAAAAATGCAATAAGTAAATTTAGAGATGAACAATTTAAAAAGTAAACGTAGTTTCATTAGCTTAATATTTTAAAATAGCTATGTGAATTTTTTCACTGAATACTAATAAACATCAAATATATTTTGAGATTGACAATTTTTAATACCAAATATTCCACCCAATTTTACTCACAGCTCTTCTAAAAACATTCTGCAATTAAAAAGCTTTGTCTATGTAACTTCTACTAGTCAGTATTCAACGGGTTTCCAATGCCTGTTAAAACTGTTGGTAGCTTACTAGCTGCGTGTTGTATTTATCTAGTGTACAGAACAAAGTCACCTGATAGTAGATGAGGTACATAATTTATGAGATTGTTTTCCTTTAGTTAAAAGGTCCAGAAACTCCTTTCATCCTCTCTATCCCATGTAACCTCAAGCACTAGCTTGCATTCTCCCACCTACTGATTGGATCATTCCCTGCGAAGGAAGGATACACCCAAGTCAAAATGAATCTTGCCTCCAAGACAGGCTTACAGGTAGGAATTCTGGTCATGGTCCCATCAGGCTCATCTGCCTGACTAAAATTTTTTGTTACCCTCAATCTCTGATCTGAATTTCTGACCTTATGCTTGTTCCTAAATTAAGGTTACCACTTGTTCCTCAAATTGTTTTGTGATTAGATTCTTGACTTTCTGTAATTATGTTCTTTTTATTCTCTTGCTTTAACTACTTGGGCTCTTGAAGTTCACTCCTTGACCTCTTGATCTGACTTCATTAACCTAAAACTGATCTACTTGAGTTTCTGACCATCATCTGACTCTCCTAATAATTTAATGGTCCCTATTAATGCTTAGCTTAGCTATCCAGCTTCTGGTCTCCTCCCCTGCTACCACAGCAGTATTGAGCTTACTAGATTTATTCCAGTAAATAAATATCCATTTATCCCCTAGCACACACCTAAGTACTAGAAGGAAAATAAGTACCTGTAAAATGTTGAACCAGAAATGCATGTTGCCATGGATACAGAACTATATTTATGACCTAACCTTTATTCCATGCAGTTCCAAAGCAAAGGCATAGCCAGTAAGGAGGCAGACACTTAACTAAGAATGTGATCCGAGAAATCAGAAAATATGTATTCCTTTTATTAGAGGAAAATTATATAAAGGGTTTTTGGTTGGTTTTTGTTGTTTGTCCAGTAAAAGATGCCTTGAATATGGGTATATAGCATATACCAATTTCACGTAATAAGGAAAGAATTTTTCCCAGTCCTGTGTGATTACAACTGAGTATATATAATAAAGTAGATGCTGTTGATGAAAATTCTCTGCTTAATACAAACCACATCAGTTAAATAATACTCTGCATTTCGATTCTACATTTTAGAAAACCATTATATGTGTATATATGTGTACATATATTCTACTTGCTTCAAAATTTTACAAGTAGCTTCACAGACTTATTTAAAATCTTTATAAATATGTAGGTATTATCTTTCCATTGAAAATGATTAAATGGGCATTCAAAAAGATGGGATGAAGTATCTGCTTTAGTTCACAAATCTTGCAAGTAGCAATCAGAGCTGACACTCAGATCCTCTGATTTCATTTTTCTGTACTATTAGACAGCACTGTCTTTTAGTTAACAAAAGCTTATTGCTCTAGATAGCACAGAAATTATTTACAGAGGCTTAGACTCCAGTCACTAGCACACTTACTTAAATTTTTAATAAAATACTTAAGACCATTATTAATTTTGCTTTACTTTATCAGCAGTTGCCAGCTGAACCAATAACCCTGATTTGGCTAACATGTCAATACAAAAGAAATCCAAAGTAACATTAGTAGGAAAAAGCACACGTTGGATTCATCCAGATGGAGTTAATTCCCATGTATTGGCAAATTATCTCTCTGAAATAATGTCATTTTATGAAAGCCTGTAATTTTGCTTCTCTCCTAAAATTTTATTGCATCATAAAATTACATATCAACAGGATGTTCAAGATTTATTATGAAAATTTTGACTCAATCTGTCTTTGATTGCCACCAATATTTTGGTTTTCCATGCAATTTTTGTTTCTTAGCACATTGTTCCTAATCCTTCTATTAGATTTGATATCTTCAACTCACTACTGATGCAGACAACTATATGATGGGGATTAGGTAATGTACTCTCTATATTGACAAAACAAACGATGCCTGTAAATGATTCCTTACAGTGTAATCATAAATGTAAATCTTTGTTAAAGTGTCTATGTGCCATAGATAGATAAGGTTTCCCTATGCTACCTTAACTATTCATGATAGTAATTACCCAAATGATACTTATACTTGTCTCCTTAACCCTAAAATGTATATACCTTTGTTTCACCAACAGTAGATGTATCTTACTGACCATTCTCATGAGAACATAGTAAATGATGGTATCAAAAATGTTTTACAGGAGGCAAGATAGCTGCATTCCAAAATATCAGATACAGACCAGAAATGTCTTTTAACTATCTCCAAATTTATCTGAAAAAAATTGATGATGAATTAATTGGTCAGAAATTTGTCCAGACCACAG